CCCCCTCCCGCACACACCCCCCAGAAGAAAAGGCAGAATAATGAGAAAGAGAAGAAGCTAATGAATTCAATCAAATAATTTCATGTCATCATTACCATTCATGAAAACCCAAGAAACCCAATATTAAGAACCTAAATTGAAAACCAGAAAAGGTAAGACTCACCGCCATTCTTTCTTAAGGAAGATCAGAATAAACCCAGGAATTCTAGACAAAGAATTCTCCAATGGGTTCAAATTTCTCCTCGTCTACCCTCCTAATAGGAGGCCAAAAAATAAAATTAGAAATACCAAGCTTCTCCACAAATTCCTTCGAAGATCCATGGAAAAAGCGATACAGAACTCATCACCCATTGACCGGCGCCACCGGTAATGTTTGACCTTTCGAACCTCTCTATCTGTCTCTCAGCTCTGTATCAAAAGTCCCCGGCGTACCCCGTCTACGCTTTTATTTACTCGCTCTCATTCCTCACTGTATGTATCATATACATTAGCTTTCATCGTTGACTGTAAAATACCTCTGGTATACGGTTGGTACTGTTAGTTAGTTCAATGGCGGCTTTCAGCAGTTTTATTTTATTTTATTTTTCCTTCTTCTGTCCCTTTTCGTTTTTTTTCTTTTTTTGGTTGGGGTGGAGGGCGGTAGTCAAATTCTTCTGCGAGACTGTGACTCTGTCCCCTCCGACACTTCAGGATAATCAGATATAGAAGCAATTTCCCATTTTTTTCTAGATAAATAAATTATATTATCTAAATTTATATAATATAAAAGTGCCCTAAGATTTCCCATTTCTAAAACCATCAAACACTCCGATTAGACTCAAAGGGCCCTAAGATACCCACCACCATATTTTAGATTTTGAAATTCCCATTTTACCCCTCATCTAGAAAGATTTCTAATCGACTTCTCTCGTCGCTCGCTACTCTCAAAATCAAAGATCTCCACTATGACACCTCCCTCAAGATACACAAACCTCACCAACCCACTTCTTACATTCCAGATACCTGATCAAACCTCACCAATCTTTCCAAAATATGCTAACACCCTCGGAAACCAAATTTTAACCCTAAATTCCTTGATTTCGCCATTCATCCAACAGAGATTTCATTTTAATGCATTTAACATTCCGACACTTCTCGAGCAAAAAAAAAAACAGCAACCCACATGCCCCTTGAAATGATCAAACCCTCCTAAGGCCTTGTAATTCAAATCCATGTCATTCTACCAAAGTCCAACCTATAATTTCCCCATTTACCCATCCATCAAACTAAAATTCTATTTTGAGCTTTCTCATTGGCTGAAATACCCACGGCCTAGATTGTTATGACCCCCACATCTCTAAAGACATTAGACACCCCCGTTAGACTCAAATGGCCTTAAGATACCCATCCACCATATTCTAGACCTTGAAATTCTCATTTTACCCCTCATCTAGAAAGATTTCAAATCAACTTCTCTCGTCGCTTGCTACTCTCAAAATCAAATATTTCTACCACGACACCTCCCTCAAGACACACAAGCCTCACCAAAACTTTCATCAACCACCTGATTGACCACCTAACATTCCAAATCTTAAGATTTTCATTTTGTTCTTCATCTAAAAAGATCCCAAATCGATCATCCTCATTGCTCATTATTCTTAAAACCTCATATCTCTATCTTGACACTTCTACCAACACCCCCAAAACGTACCATAACCTTCATCAACCTCTTGATCAACTATCCAGCCAATTTTATACTTTAGAATACCCATTTTGCCCCTCATCTAAGAAGATTCCAAACCGACCATCCTTATCGGCCACTATTATCTAAGACCTCCAAAACCTCCAATTTCAAAATCTTCTCCATCACACACTACCTGAGACCTCCAAAACTTCCTTCAACTTCTTTATCGACAATCCATCAAATTTTAGACTCTAAAGTGACCATTTTACCCTTCACTTAAAAAGATTCCAAATATACCATCCTCATCGCCCGGTGCTCTCCAAATTCAAGATAATTGTCATCATGCATCATTCGAAACCTCCTATCCCCATCAAAACCCCTCAATCGATGATCCATCAAATTCCAAGCCTTAAAATGACCATTTTACTCATTAAAAAGATTCCAAATGAACAATCCTCGTCACCCAATACTCTATAAATTCAAGATTTTCTTCATCATGCATCATCTGAAACCTCCAATCCTAATCAAAATCTCTTGATTGACAATCTGCCAAATCTAGACCTTAAAATGATCATTTTACCCTTTACTTAAAAAAATTCCAAATAGACCATTCTCGTCACCTGATATTCTTCAAATTTAAGATATTCGTCATCACACATCATCTGACACCTTTAAACCCTATCAAAACCTCTTGATTGATAGCTCAACAAATTTCAGACCCTAAAATGACTATTTTACCCATCATCCAAAAAGATTCCAAATCAAAGGCTTTTATTAGTCGTAATTACCCAAATTCAAGATTTGCATTGTGGTATACCCTCCGATAAGCCTAGACCACACTATCTCCTTCCTAGACGTCTCGACCAACCATCCTCCATTTCCTATACCAAAAATGACCACTTTACCCCTTCATCAAGAACGATCCCTATCTGACGATCCTCGTTGCTCAATATACCCCAAATCATGACTTCACTCTAAAACACCCCCAAGACTATCAAACACCATTGCCACTTTTTTTTGGACGCCCTAAAACCCCGTGAAAAATTTTATTGGGAAATTTCCCATCTTGCCCTTCCATCAAGAGATTCCAATTCTTACAATCTCAGTGGCTGGAATACTTGTTGTTCACATTCTCCCTCCAACCCATTCCAAATGAAGCACCCCCACCTAAACTTCCTTCCATAAAAATTTCATACAAAAATACCCTTCTTACCCATGTCAAATGTCAAGATTCCATTTCCTTGAATCTTATTCGTTCTCCCTAAGGGCCTAAAACACTTTTTAGTCATGTAGGCTTAACTCCCACCCTTAGATTTCACTGGAAAGGGCACATTAAATCTGAAACGTCCATCCCCTTTTAGCCCCTTTCATATTCCAAAAAATTATTTTCTAGTCCCCCACCAAATCCCCATGCCTTTAGTTTTTGCAAGGAAATCCTTCACACTTGTCATTTCCCCAACCATTGAATTTCCTTGGGAGCCTCAAGTTCAATCTAGGACGTCCAAAAGTTGTTTGTCTTTTCCCTTTTACAAAAAATTACACCTTGAATCCTTCCTCACAAGTCCCAAACTCTTAGAATTTGCAAAAAGCCCTCTACCGCATGTCACCTTCTTAACCATTGGATTTCCATCTTTTCCCCATTAATTTTCAACCCTAGGATAAATCCTCACTTTTTAGAAGTCTCAAAACACTCCCCACTCCTTTCTATAAAAATGCAAAGTTTCTTTTCTTTAGAAGGGATTACACTAAAAAAGGGAAAAATGTTTTTTCTTTACATAAAGGAGCCAAAATTTCGACCCCAACAAGAAACCTCTCCTTCCTCTCCATTCTAATGAGAACAAAACCTTTTTTTTTTTTTACACTCTCCCAACGTCCCCAAGCTCTCAAGAACCGAAATCTCTTATTCTCCTCTCTCCCTCTCCTTCCCCTTGGCCTTCCAAAGCTCCGAATCCTCTCCTCTTCTCTTCTCCCATCCCATTATCTTTTTCTTTTTGGTTTTGTTAGTAAGAAAACAAGAAAAAAGAATATCTCTTTCTACTCTTAGTTCATTGAAAGAAATAAAGAGTTAAGAGGAGGAGGAAGAAGAAAGAGTAACCAAGCAAGTTCGGTTCCAAAATTGTGGCGTCATTCCCTTATTCTTCCTCGTTTTTTTGTTCTCCCATTGCTGTCAAGGTTTTGAGAGATACCCCCACAAGAGGTATGTGTTTACAACCTCTCTAATGCCGATCCATTTTTTGTTATTACTTGGATTCACCATAACTTTTCAAAATKTCCAGAGAACCCCATGTCAGTGAGCTTTTGCTTTCAAAATTCACCATCGTTAAAGCACTATTAGTATTCATTGACATAAATTGTTCAGGTTAGCATAAATACAATTTTCATGACCAAATTGCCCCTAAATGGCGAGTCAGCCTTTCAGGTTGTGTTCTTCCATCTTCATTATCCCATACGCTTGCTCTCTTACTCACTAATGGCGCATGAGAATGCTGCAACTCTCAATCTCCAGAATGACAGGGCTGAGAGTGAAAGCACCAAGACCGTGAGCTTCTCTTCCCTCAAGCCACAACTTGTTCTCCAAGCTTCCAAGGTAGTCGAGGCCATTTAGTTGTAGAAGATACTCTATCTTGCTAATCACCCCAATGAACTCCATGACCACCCAAAAACCAGTTATGAATATGCCAATCGAAACCAATACTAGATAAGCGTCTTCCTTGCTCAACCACCATGATCTAAAAGTTTGGTAGCCATTATTCCTCTGACCATCAACTGTGAGACAAACATTTAAACTCCGCCTATTGCAAACAACACTTGTTGGCCCAATCTATCCACTCTCAGCAAGGATATGAAGGTCGAGCCAGTACCCACAACTCCATTCATCACAGCGGACATGAAAGATGTCACCAACTTAATTAGGATTGAAGCTGGGACTATAGCCCGGGCTAGAGAGAGACACCAACCCCAACCGCCTCTAATCTTTTAGGTACTAAAGTTTATGAGATTTGTTGATAATGCTCCAATGCCTACACTGAACTGGAGCCACTGTTAAACTTAAAATCTCCTATGTACTGTGGTGGAGCCATTTCTAAGAGATACAGTGGGACCGACTGCACACAATATAAGAAGATTAGTTACTACTAATTTTATCTTCTCTCTAACAACCATTAAAACTTGGGCTCAGCCAATCAAACTAATGGCGAATCTTGCAACGAAGTTACTTGGGAGGTGCTTGATCATCCAATGAAATGAATTACATGTGGTAAGCTTTTGCTCAACACCCATATCCTATACTTTCCTAGGAAAGTGATTAATCTGAGAGATGTCATCACATCTCCATCCTGTTCCAAGAACAAACTTACTTGAGCTCAGTATAAATTTGAGCGATGTCGTCACATAAATCTGTGAATCCCATGCCAACTTCAAACAAAACATGACCTAATATAAGTATGTATACGTTGAGATAAGAATGTAGAAGAGAGAAAAGTAAAAAGATAAAAGAATTCTTTGTATTGCTTGACCTATCAACCAGGTTGAGATGGGTATGGTATATATACACAAAGAACAAAAATAATAAAAGAAAGTAAGAATAGAATAGGCAGTTGCCTATGTACAAAGATTATAATTAATTCTCTTTCTAATTTAGTGGTTGCCAAATCTGTTTGAGAGCCTTCATTAATAACTGCTATTCTTGGAGGAGAGCTTTCATTGGTAGCTGCTAAAGATCCTTTATTGGTAGCTGCTAAGCTGGACTAAGAGCCTTCATTGGTAACTACCAGACTTGTGGAG